GGATCTATTTGCCAATTAGACTATTAAGAGAGGCCGAAAAGGGCAAGGGCCGCGCGAGACCTGGCGAAATTCACTGCTGGAAGAAGTACGAACCAACGGATTACACGGTCCAGTGCAGAGTATTTGCCGAGCATATACATACCGCGGTAATGTTGACCTTTTGCCAGATCCATCCTGCGTGCAAATTAACGATGTTTGCTCTCAACCCTTTGGCCCCTTGTCTTCATTCCTACCTCTTCTCTCTTCTCTCTTCTCTCTGCTCTCTCCTCCCTGCTCGTATTTTTTCTTGCTGCGTACGCTCTTCTTATTTCTTTCCTAGACCACAAGTTGTTTCAGTTTAGATCGACACGCGTTGTTACGACATAATAAGAAAAATTGCAAGAAAGAAAGAAAGAATATGCCACGTGGAACGATCTATGTATATTAATAGGAAAATAATAGAAAAAATATCAAGGTCTACGATAAGATAGATAGCCTCTGAGAAATGCAACGTTTCTAAGATAACGCTTTCTTTTTAACTTTGTTTTTCGTCGGATCGTATACAATGTTACAAAATCGTTTACGAGTTATATCGAAAAACTCTTCGACATAGTAACAAATGAAATAAATTTCATTTCTATTCTTGTTCCTTTTTCCCTTATCAAGCAGAAATTCCTTTCGCAACAAATTGGTTAGTAAAGTTCGCTCATTTTTTCAATTCGTATTTCGCGATGCAGCGAACGCGCGTGTCTCTCATTTTTTCAAACTTCTACGCTACAAAATGCGCCGGAATCCGATTACACGATTTCTGCTTATTCTGCACACTGCCGGACGTGACGTCACTGGAACTCACAACCGTGGATGATCGTAGATGCCAGGTGTGACTCGACACCAAGAACTTCTTTATTCTCTTGTCTCCTTCCCACGCGAAATCTATGAAATAATTATTTGTATATAACTCTAATTAACATACCAAGGCAATTGCTGACGAATTGATGACGAAAAAGTCGACATTCGAGCGACTTTATTAGCTACTACATAAAAAGTGAATTTATAGAGAAAGAGAAAAAAAGAGGAAGCTACGATTCTTTCTTGAAATCCCAAAGGATCTTGGTAAAGACCAAAAGTCCCTTTTTACTCATACCTATCGAGCTGAAATAATAAAGTGCTGCTCGTTGATAACGTTCCAGTGACAAATATGACGGCAGTTCCGGCACCCAGCGGAAATCGCCAAATGCGTTTGCTTCCGTTTCGTATTCTTTTCGCGTGTTCCGCATCGTGGTCACGCGTGGTGATCGCCGCCTTTCTCAATTATTTCTTTATATAATATTTACTCCTATAGCATGGATGCTTTATTATTCTATTAAATATATATCTATATATATTGAACAAAAATTGTTAATATTCATTGTCATAAAGAAAACTCTATCCGTCTCCGTCCGGTCGTTGCGATCCTTAGCCTCTGTCAACAACCCCCATTTAAAAACGTAGAAGGAGCAAACTGTTGTCAATGAACGTTATGTTTTTAATCGCTGCGACACAAATAGCAACGAGGATTCGATTGTTCGCGAAGCCGATGCAAAGCAGCGATGATCCGAGAATAATTGAACCACCAACTGCAAACAAATTCCTAAGAGTGAGAGAGAGAGATAAAGTAGAAGCTAGTAGGGGTGGGTGAGTTACAGGGAGAGGGTTGTTCTCGACTACCGTTCGAAGACCGTCGCACGATCTCTACTTCATTGTGTCATCCGTCATCGCGCTTCGAACAAATGAACGTCTCAACGGTTGCCAGACAAATGACTCGAGGATTATCCTTCGAATGTTCTCTCTCTTTCCTCCCCTGTGTTTCCCCTGTTTGCGTCTTCGTCTTCCTCTCTTTTTCTCGTCTCATCCGCTCATGAATGGAACGAGGGTGTAGCTTTTCCTTGGAAATATCGGCTCTGGCCACTCGATCACCGCAACAGTTTGCGCATAGACCTCCGAGATCGTATCCGTGGCATTATCTCGATTCATCTTCGAGGAAGAGCACGAGGAAAAGAATTGATGCAAGACCGACTAACGGTCTAAACGTTCGACTTCCGAGACCTTTATTATTATTATCATCGTAATACGTTTGGAAATAGATCTTCTAAAGGGGTAGTTTTGAAATTTGCAATCTATTTTTTTGAATAATATTTAGTCAACTGTAGCAGTAACTGCCGATTGAAGTACTCTTCTCGTTCGACGAGAAATAATTTATTCATTGGATAAACAGCAACCGCCGTTTCTACTAGATATAAATTATATCGATTTTTTTATCGAGTTATAATTTACGATAGATCATATCGAACGTTCTTAAAAATTGAGAGAATTTCTCTTGTATCATATCGCTGCAATAATTTGTATCCTATCGTCGTCGATGGCGTCTTCTTTTATAAAAGGAAGAGAGAAAGAGAGAGAGAGTTGTGGGTGTTAGGTGAGTATAGAGGTGGGTTCATCGGTAGGTTGGCTCGCTGGCTGACTGCTTGGTATCGATGTGCAGCCTGGCAAGCCGGCTATGCTGGCTCAGCACTCTCCCTCGTTTCTCCTCCTCTACCCTTCTCATCCTCATCCTCTTCCATTTCTTTCTCCCGTTCCTCTCTTCCTCCATCCTCCAATTTCTCTCTTTGTCCTAGGATAGCCTTGGTCTCGACATCATCCCGAAACTCGTCCATAAACTTAACCTTCTTAGTACCTTCATAGAGCCTACGAGGATGACTTAATTTTTACGACCGCCAAAGGAAAAAAAAAACAAAAAACAAAAAACAAAATCGGAGGAGAGTATCGGCTTTAATTCGATTTTTAAAGATACCCCCACTTGGTTGGTAGGATTAGTTGGAATAGTTGGAAAAGTCGACTAATATAAAATAAATCTCGCGCGAGCGAACAAGTTTTCTATCGTTTTAGGTATATAAAGATCAGATAAGTCTGTAATTTTGCGAGTAGTTTTTGGAAATGTTGAATGCCGATAGATAAACGACTCGAAGATTGGCATTGGAGTTAAGATGAAAAGAACGATTGGTCGGATTTGAAAGTTCCTTTTGCTTTTGTGAATGCAATTGCCGTCGTAAATCTCGCTGTAAAGTTAGTTGCGCGGCTATACCGCGGCTATACCACGGCTATACCGGGTCTATGCCAGACGTTTCCCTCCCAAACGATACGATAGATCAGTGTCTCTTGACCTCGCGGTATAAAGATTTAATAGTGGCGCGAAGTCAAGCAAAACTTATTCGCCTTTGAGGAAAATTGATCTCGCCTTCTGACATAGATATCGAGCAAACGTCGTTCCGATTGCATCTTCCGATTCGATGGTTTTTTTCTTCTTCTCTCGTTTTTGTGAACCGAACCGAACCGAACCGAACGGACAAATCTAAAACGTCTTCACACAATTAGGACTACTGCAAGTTATTTGTCCATCGACATTTATATAGGTAAATATTTATTTTTTTCGTAGAATAATCGATGAAAAAGCGTAATCAATGTGATATAATTAGATTTGACTTTTGATCATATTTTCAAGTCGACAAACAATTTAGCCAATACAGAGGTAGGTTCGGTATCGTGAATGGAAAATTTCGCGAACACGTCAAGAAATCGTAAGCGACGATCGTGCGAAAGAAAGAGTCAGAGGAGGGAAAAGGGGGTCGAAGGATGTCGTCGGAGCAGCGGTGCAACGTCGACAAATTCCTCGCTCAAACAAAATGGCCAATCCTATCGGCGTTGTTCCTTCTATTTCGACCCTCGCCGACATTCGCCCCGTCTAGACCAACAAAATTTTCTCCGATTTCTCGCGTCACCTTCTTCTTTCCTAGGATTAAAGTACGGATAGAACCTTAAAGCTTCCTACCTTGAGAAATGACTTAGACGCATCCAACTACTTGCATCTTCTCCGCGTTCGTTCGTAATCGTTCATTCGATTCGATTAAACCTTTGTAAAGGATTAGAAGCAAAATGGCAAAGAACCTTGCTTGGTATCTTACTCGTAAGAAGAAGTAATAGAGTTGAGAATAAAAAGAAGGAAAGGAAGATGAGGGTTCGAGAGGTAGGTGCGACAGCGAATAAGGAAAATTTGATATTCATGAAGTATTTTAAAGTCCTGGCATCTCGGAAATGGGTACGAGGAAGGGCTAAAGGTTAAGACCCGTGGACGTCTGCGGAAACCTATTTAGATACGAAGCCGCGATTTTCTCTTTTCCCTTGTACTTTTCGCGTGAAAATACTCACGCTCCAATTTAACGGTAAAAAAAAAAGAAAAAAAGTGAGACGACTATTGCTGAGCGATTTTCATCGAGGGAATCAATCGAAATAAGTAGTTTAAGTAGTTCTACTCATTTTACAATTTTCTTCGTATTTTGCCAAAAGCAGGCAAGTTTTTATCGGCGACATATTGAGAAAATATCGAGAGGGGGAGGGTGGACCGTTTGCAAAAAGATCTAAGAAGAGAAAAAGAAAATTGAAAGGGGTGCATCGTGCAACCAAGGCTTTTAGATGAAAGTTAACATTTGCAGAGATGTCGAAGTGGTTTCAGTTAGGTGGGCCAACCTTGTATATAATATAGGAGTTTTTGGAAAAGAGAAACGCTTTGAAAGAGAAGCAAAGAAAATAAAGAAGAGAAAAGAACAAAAGAAGAAAATAAGTGGTTGAAAATGGAAGGAGTTGAAGATAAGGGGCGTGAGCAAATGGCGGCAACCGAACGAATCCCAACTCATGACCGTTGTTTGGGGTGGTCCCAGAGAGTACGCCCACCCCAAAGGTGACGTCACTTAGTGACATGCGCGCCAATGTCATGTCACCCCCGTCACGTTCGGCGCGGAGCGGCGCGCTGCGCTCGAGCGTATCGGCCACCACTCAGATAACGGAGACACCGACGACGACGCATCTCTCTGCTCTGCCGGCGCGCATCCCTCTCTTTTTTTTTCTCTTAATACCTTTCTCTCTCTTTCTCTCTCTCTCTCTCTCTCTCTTCCTCTCTCTCTTTCTCTCTCTTTCTCTATCTGTCTATCTATCTATCTATCTATCTATCTATCTATCTGTCTATCTATTCATCTCTCTTTCTCTCTCTCTCTCTCTGTCTCCCCCCTTGTCCATTTCTCCGTCTATCGTGTTAATATCGAAATATTTCTCGGAGTGATAACTACGCTCGGTACACCCGCGTATTTTGACGAGCAAAAGTTGTTCGCTCGGAGGTCTAAGAAAAGGGATTATTATTTGGCGGGAAAGAAGAAGAAGAAGAAGAAGAAGAAGAAGAAGAAGAAAAAGAAGAAGCAGCTTCGAGTGTTATCGAAGTGCAAGGAAAAGTGTCAAGTGTTTAGAAGGCAAATTGTTCGTGTTGTTCGTGCATCGTCGAAGAAACTCACGTGGATAATTACCTACCCGTTTTTTCTGTTTTTTTTTTTTTCTTTTACTTTGTTTTCTTTTCGGCTGTAAGGCTGCCAAGAAAGGTGGTCACGACGTTAGAAACAGCGACGAGTTGTCAAGGAGGAGCTGGAGGAGAAATAGCTGCTGTCACCGAGGAGACGCTCACGTATGCAGCTGCAACGGATGCGGTAGAGAAGGTGGAGGCGCAGGAGGTGGAGGTCGAGGTCGACGAAGTTAAGATGGAAGCCGAGGACCACCTAGCGAGGGAATACGTCCAGGAGTTTGTCCTCGATCATCTCGATCCCGCCGACGTCAAGCGAGAGGTGCTCCTCCTCTTTTGGCTTTTTTTTTTCATTCTCCTATTATATGTAAAAAAAAGACTATATTTTCAAAGGACGATAAAATTGGAAAAAATCGTGTTTGCCAATAAATTAAGAAGAAGAAGAAGAAGAGAAATATTTATAAATGGACGAACGAATCGTGAGAAGACTCGAAAGAGAGAGAGAGAGGGAGAGAGAGAGTATCGTGCATTTGCCGGTCCGTCAACGCACACGTGCTTCTTCTCTTCGCGTAACGTTAAAGAATAAATCTTTAAGTTAATTGCATAATGCGAAATTATCGATGACGGTGCAGCGTGTCGGTCGGTCCGAGTATTACGTTTATAAATCCTTATCTCCCTGGTGTCGTTAATAAAAGTTGAAGTTCATTAGTGAAGTTCAAGAGATAACGACGATATCGCTACTCGCTCAATTATTGCGTGTAACATCATTAATTTCGACGATATTCTTTTTTGCAAAACTTATTCCACGTAACTGTGATCGTATCGTTGAACTGTGCGATATTACCTTGATTAAACTTATTTATTACGTGAGAATTCATTTGATGCGATTCCCTTAATTATATCGATATATCATAGATACTTAAATATTTTAGATAATAATTCAAGTCAACGATATCGCTATTTTTGGTTTCAGGTACGAATGGGTTCGCCTAACGTAATGGTGAACGGAAGCGTGGTGCAAATTCCAGGACAGGTACAAGCTCAGGGCCTAGCTCTTGCACCGTTGACCCCACCGGCCCACGAATTAGAACAACCCCATCCGTTGTACGGGCAACCTCATATACAAGTGCAACACGGGGTGCTGGTAAAGGCACCACCCGGTGGTGCTCCGCATTTGACGACCCTTTCGCATCCAGGCACCCCGCCGGACACGCCACCGGTCTCTGCCTCTCCACCCCCGTTGCAGCTGCAACGCGCGGAGCGAGATCCTCGCGAACGCAGTGGACTCCTCTTGCATCTGCAACAACCGGGATCCATATTACAGGATGACATGCAAGTTGGACCCGGCGTCAGTATGGGCTGGCTAACCCAATCCCTCAGGCAAGAACCCCTCGATTTGAGACCACATTGTCCTCAGGAACAAGCGCAAGAACCTCATCACGAAGCTTGGTCCTCATCGACCACCAATCATCATCATTTTCAGGAGCTTCAACACTTGCCGAGACATACCAGGCATCCCGGTAATATATCTTTTACATATTTCACTTGGTTATACGCGAAAGAATTCATTGAGAGAAAGAGAGCGATTCTATGTAGTGTAACTAACGCGATCGGATAAGAGAATTTAACGACGAGAGAGGCTCGTTATCGCTCGTAGGTGGGTACATCACGATGTCCGGTCACATCGAATACTATGGTGGTCCAGGTTCAGGCGGCGGGATGCTTCCCGCGGGCGGGGGTGTCATGCAGAACATGGAGGATAGCATGCATGCGATGCCCATGCAACCGGGTAGGCCTTTGAGCGTTTGCTCGGTCAGTTCTTGTGGTGCCAGTGGTCCTAGTCCTGCTCACAGAACTGCCAATGGATTGTATTCGAGTTGTGGACCTGCCAATTCACAGGAAGAGCTTATGAACGACGAGCTCCTCATGTCGCTTTCCGTACGCGAATTGAACAAACGCCTCCATGGTTGCCCGCGGGAAGAGGTGAGTCAGGTCTCTCATTTTTTCAAACATTCGATCAAGGTAATACGGGTAACATCTCGATCGCTTTCGCCTTTTTATTTTTTTCCCTTTAAAACAACCATGACGAGATAAGTTTGATCAACAAATCGCTTTTTCCTAATACGCGTCTCATAGAAAGATTGATCAGAATTTACCTTTGTTGCTTTTAAACGACTGATTACGACTATCTCGAGAACTTGAAATTAATTCGTTCATCAGTCTATACTGATAATACCTACGAAAGTTTATGGTTCTCGAGGTGGTGATCGATCGTTCCGCGAATTAGAGAGAGATAAAAAGAGAGATAGAAAGAGAAATGTAGATAACAGAAAAGTGAACGAACGAAAACGTTATAAGCGATCGATCCTCTTGCGAAGGTTGTCCGCTTGAAGCAAAAACGTCGAACTTTGAAGAACCGGGGCTACGCGCAAAACTGTCGCAGCAAACGATTACAACAACGTCACGATCTCGAGACGACCAACAGTAATCTGCAAAACGAACTTCAACGAATAAAAATCGAGCTGGCTCGAACCCAACAAGAGCGGGATCTCTACAAGCAACGCTGTGAAATATTGAGGGCTCGTCAGAGTCATCATCACAGTCATAATCACAACCATCATCAACAGCAAGTTCCTCAGCCTCCTCAACAGCAAACGCAATCGCAACCTCAGCAACAACATCAGTCGCAAAATCAACATCCTCAACAGCAGCAGCAGCAGCAGCAGCAACAGCAACAACAACAGCAGCAGCAACCACCACCACCTCCGCAACAACAGCAACAACAACAACAACAACAACCGGCACCGGCCAGTCCTGAAGTCTACCTATGACATCGACAGCGCCGAGGAGGCGCTTGCTGGACCTGAACGCAATTATCTCGATAGTCGAATGCTTGAGTCGGTGAGTCCAATGGTTCCAAATGAAAAAGAAACATCGGGAAAAAAAATGATTTGGTAAATATTTTGAATGTAAAGTTCGGACGGTGTATCAAGGCATAAAAATTCATGAAAGCAGGGATTGCCGTGTGGCGATAATGTCGCAGACTGGGGCTCGTTTAAAAGCATTTACGCGGAAAGATGTGCAACGAGATAAACGACGCGACGGCTGACGCGTTAACGCCTTCGTAAAAACTATTACATCATTGTTTCCCAAGTGTTACAGGTTTATCATCGTGGTCGTTGAGGCTGCGCCCCCTCCGTCGGAAAAATAACGGGATTGATGCCGCTATAAACGATTATATCGTTACTTTTTTTTGTCTTTTTCTTTTCTAGTTTTTCGTAGGATAAAAAAGAATAAAAAAAGAAACGTTAACTTTGTGCTCGCGGTTACGCGCTGTAACGATATTAAGGCCGAGGTCGATTCGGGGTCAGCATTTAAATAAGATTAAGCTCCGCGGCAACCAGCTTTTCCGGATCGGATCAACATTGTAATCCCTCGATGCTTCCCACGATCCACAATATTTTCTGTTAGAAAGTTTTGTTTCGTTCATTTGAAAATTGACTAATCAAAAGGGTTGCAAGATGTTTTTCATTTTCATCTCTGTGTGGTTTCTCGATCATTTTTTTTTTACAGCGTTTCGAGAACGATCATGGATCGAGAAATGGGGAGGAAGATTGATGGGGAAGAACGTTCGACCGATACCTCTGAGATCTGGGCGTTATTTCGACACCAAAATAATCAAATAATTCCGAAAAATGACAGAAGCAAAAAGCACTTCTTTTGCGTGTGTGCGTGCGTGCGTGCGTGCGTGCGTGCATAAACGTTATAAACACAACTTTATATGAGGATAGATGGCTGGCTATTCGTTTGTTTCTTTTTGTAGTTTTCCTTTCTTTTTTCGACGATACACTGAGGACACAAGAAGATGTCTAGAATTAAGTTAAGGCAAATGTAGGATTAAGCACTTATGAAAAAATCTCGTCTCTAGCGTTTGATCTACGCGTGTACATAGATTCATACTACATTGTTTATGTAATATATGATCGCATTGCTTGGAATAGTTATCGGATCTTGGTAAGAATTATCGCGATTAAAGAACTCGCGCGCTCTCTTCTAACGTCAATTTAACTTAAAATTAGGACATTTGCATAAGTTTTGATACAAGATAGGACTCCTTTTATTCATTTTCTTCTTACTAATAGATGATTGAATAATAATTGAAATTTTATTTTGTTGCCAAAAGTTTGTCTTCTTTTTTTACTTTGTTTATTTTTTTAAATTATATTTTTATACCTACGCTATTATAATTATATCTATCATAGGTCGGGGGTCTGTATCATTTGCGAGTCGAGTAGACAAGAGTTGTTTCGAAAAAGGAAACTTGGACTGTGAATGTACATTGTCGCGCAATCAGATCACACGCGCAAACGGCCAAAGTGGGCTAAAAAAGGGACATATATCGTTTTAATATGATTATGGCACAAAAAGTAATCGCGGTATACGGTATACCTGTATGGTATTTCTACGACTTGACTTCTTCGACGAAAAAAGAATCTCCATTTGTCTATTCTACGAATTTGACGATAAGAAGAAGAAGTCGAGTAGTTTATGCGTTAGACGATGGCGTAACTTTGCGAATGTAGGATAAGATAAAACAATAAATAAAAGAAAAAGGAATAATTCCGTTAGATGAAACGAAATATGAAAAGGTCGGTGCTAATCGTTCATATTTTAAGGACAAAACTTCGAGAGAACTTGCGCGTAAAGTTACGCCACCGATCCTAATTAGAAAAATATTATGCATATACAAACAAAATAAATAAATATATATATATATATATATAAATATATTATTGTTTTCTCGTATGGGTCACGTTCGGCCAAAACAACACTGGCCGAAACTTGTCCGATTCGATTTAAGAATGTTTTAATTCCCGTTACATCGTCTCTCGTGTGTACATACAAATAATTATTATACTTCTTATTATAAATAAACGTCGACACGCAATCCGACAGTTTCAGATAGTCGTCGGAGTATGGTATATTATTTCGAAACATCCAAAACCATTTCCTTGGATTGACCTTAGTTACTTTATTACTTCCATCGGCGTTACCTGCTACTACCCTAACTACTACCTTTTAATGTAAGAAAGAAAAAATAATAAAATGAAAAAAGAAAAATATCGTGGAGTCAGCGTTTCGTTCCAGTCCACGCACGCAACCGAAACAAGGCAAAAGTTTCCTCTTCCAGTTAACAAAAATTTCCTTCTCCTCGCGCAGCCACATTTTCGCGCATTCTACCTACTCGAATTTCAAGTAGCGAAACCAATATCTTGCTTACGTTTAGTAATTAAATACTCTTGCTATGTGTCACGCATCGAGTTAATCTTTATTTCAAGAATTCCAAGTACGATTATCTTTGTCAACTTTCATATCCAAATGAACAATATTATTTTCCAGATTTTCTTTCTAACAAAAATGTCAAATTCTAAAATTCTATGTCCAAATTGTACACGAGTAGAGGTACTCAGGAAAATAAGACGCATTAAAAAGAGAAAACGGAAAGAGAAAACGGAAAGAGAAAACGAAAAGAGAAAACGAAAAGAGAAAATGGATACGGAGAAGCTTTGCCATTCTCGCGCTTCCCTCGCTTTATTTGCAACGCCGTTTCTGCTGACTACGTCGCTTCGACGATGAATCCATCGGGATGGAACGTCGGTAAACAAAACGTTCACCTCTTCCAACCTGACCCCACCATCCACCTCCACGAGCATCACCTCCCTAGCAAACCCCTAGCTCGCGATAAACTTTGCTCGAGTTTGCGTTGCACGATTCTTTTTCCATTTCTATCTCTGCGTCAATTCTCTATGGAGTTATTTCATCTATGTATATATTATTGGTATTATTATTTAAGCGTGAATTTTAACGCAACTACATATTTTTCCAAGACCCTACTGGAACATTTATTTAGCTGACATATTACATTGAAATGAAAGCTTCCAACGTTGAAGAGCGCGAACTGCTCTTGCACGAGCTGCTGCTGCTGCTGCTGCTGCTGCTGCCCGCTGACAGGCTTGAAGTTTGATAAACTTCTAACGAGGATTTAACCGACTAGTCCACAGAGGGTTGCTTGACAATAGGCTTGTCTTTGATTTCGAACAAGCTTCCCCTAACTACAGACGTTGTTTCCTTGCTCGACAGGATTAAAACTAATCGTTCCAACTTTCAACAGGTTCCTTCTTTCATTATTTTTATTTGTTAAATCTTTACAAAATTTTTAAATATGCACAATGTATAATTAGTCAATTTTGTAGATTTTTGTTAACAAGAAACTACAAGAAAAACGTTCTGATAGGTAGAAACGACGTTGAAGAGAGAGAGAGAGAGAGAGATAAATGTTACAAAGGGGTTGCACAGAAGGAGAGTAAAAAATAGTAAAAAGAGAGCGTGCGAGGGGTTGCAAAGGACAAGGCAGGAAACGAGTTGGAGGTGAGACGAGCTTTATTGTCAAGTCACGCCAGCATCGTGGCCTATCTCTATCTACCAGCTTCACCCTTCTTGCAGTCTCTTTTCTCTCTCTTTCTCTCTCTACTTCGTTCGTGACGTAGATCACCTCCCACTATCAACATCCCTTCTCCGTAGCTACTCTTCTCGACCACCTTGCCTCTTTTTCTTTTTTTCCTGCGCTATAGCGCAGTGCACGTGCATCTTGTCTATCTTTTCTTCTTCATACGAATTTGGATTAAATCGAATATCAAAAAAGATCAGACCAGGATACGCTGTTTATCGTCTTTCTTAACGTTGATAATAAACTCTCTATTTGTCGAATAATTTCGTTCATTGTTTATAGTAGTTAATCTCGAAAGTATTTCTTCTTGCAACTTGATATCTTCAATCCTCGATATCTTATCGCGGACCACACGTGTAACTAATATAATGTATATTGTATGCATATCTTTCTTTCTCTTTAAATAATACACATACGTGTTATCCCAGTGACCGATTAGATGAAATGAAAAGAGTAGAATTCCTATTGTTCTGATTGAAATCGCTTTAGCTTCTTTAAAAGCGAAAGTTATTTCGAAGAGGACATCGAACTGTCGACCGATAAAAAAATATTTTTTTTCGCGAAAGGTGAAAAAACTCGAAGAAGGATTGAAGTAGAAAGGGAAAAGAGGGTCGAGGGAAGGACGAATCAATCGGTCCAGCTCATTTCGTCGTCGCAGCTTTAAGCCGGTGACGTCACGTTTACTCTCTCCGCGACGGAGAAGCCAGAGAAAGGGAAGATTCGGCGACGCCAGCATCTTTCACTTCTGATGACGACGTAGGTTCGCGGTGGTTGATGACGCGGCACGTACGTTATATCCGTACCTACAGACACACAGACAGACGTACACACAGCCGTACACACAGCCGTACACACAGCCGTACACACAGCCGTACACACGCCTGTAGGAACACATGGAAGCTTCCGCATTCACCGAATGAAGGAATGAACGAAACCTGCAGAGAGATGCGGAAGTAAAGAGATCACGAAGACGAGTACCTTGACCGAGTCTCTCGTCGACCACCAATCGCAGATCGATACCGAAAATCTCGTCCTCCGACTTTTATTTCCTTTCCTCTTCTTGATGTTCCTGACAGAGATACGCCTACTATAGCGTGTTACAAAATAGGTTTATTTGTTGAAATATCGAAGACCTACCTTTCAACAATTGTCGCAGATATATTAGGTGAGACATTGATGGAGATCCCTCGGTGTAACGACCCTGAACAAGACTACCCTGACCCAGTCGTAGAATCGGCTCGTCAAAAAGGATCGATACTCGCTAATCAGATCAAACTACCCTACCACTCGCGGATGCCCGCAGATACGATCGAGTGGTACGTACAACGCGAACATCTCACGCATTTCAGATAGATTCGAGCTACTTAATTCGGCAACTACTAGTTCATCTAATCTTTCGTATTTAAAGTAGAAACAAACGAAGAAACATTTTTCAATTTCAATCTCGTCGTTGCTACTAGAAAAATACTTGGGGCTCGTTCCAACCATAGCAGACGGAGCCAGGACCTTCCTAGGCGTAGACCGCTAGTGATTTAGTGCGATCCGATCAGCTGGACCATAAATATCAGGTGTTTTTTTACCACGCAGACGAGTGTGCTTGCGTAAGTGAGACGACGTAACGCGATAGCATTGTCCTGCTTCCTCTTTTTCGAACAATGTGTGACCTCTGACCAAGGGAGTCAAGCTTACTGGACTACCAGCACATTCGTCTTCTCCCTACCGAGAACATCCCTTTCTCTTCTTCTTCTTCTTCATCTTCTTCGTCTTCGGATTTCTTTCAATTCTTTACAAACGACCAGCTTTTTTCTATCTTATCTTCTTCCTCCTTCTTCCTTTTTTTAATTAATTTTTTTCTACCCGTCAATTATATTTAAAATATTTTTTCTTGGTGTAGCAAAAATAAACGTCGTCGTCGTCGTCGTCGTCGTCGTCGTCGTCGTAAATGTAATTTATATAAAGAAGTTTCAATCTTCAAGATGCCACCCTTGCCTGGTTATTTACCAATTATAGTTATCGTCCTTAGCACCCAAAGCGCGATTCGCTTCTCTCGGTCGTCTAGCTTAACTACACTTTTATAGCGCTTCTCAACTTTAAACGGATAATTTTTATCCGCTAAGCCACCACGCTGGTAGATTTCATCTCCCAATCCTCTCCTCGTCGTCCTCATACCGAGGGCCGATTGCCACCACGAGATGAGAAGGAAGAAGTCCTTTGGTTGTCGGTACTGTTGGTGAACGAGGCTGGAGGGTGGTGGAGGATGACTTCGGCACCCTCCCAACGTCCCAAGCGACCCCTCATAAAATTAAGTCAAACAGCTACGGGGTGCCAGCACTCGTTTTTCCCTTTAAGAGTAGAGTGCAGAAAAAGAGAGAGAGAGAGAGAGAAATAGCAAGGGGTGAGATCCAAATTGTTCGTGGCAATTGGAGGACGACGCCTCGACGAAAACCACACAATCTTTATTCCTTACTTTTTATCCTAAATATCGTATATATTTTTAATGCAACGAAAAATTTTAGAAAAAGAGATCAAACGTGACAGTTCTTGTCTGTTTGGTCCAGATGGAATTACTTTTATTGTCGTCGTCGTCGTCGTCGCCGTCGTCGTCGTCGTGAATTCGATTCGCGTTCGTTCATGCGAATAGCCACGAGGGACACCCACTGGTGCGAAGCACCCCCCG